TCTGGAGACCAGGGTTCGAATCCCAGCTCAGCCATGTAAACCCACTGGCTGGGATTTTGGCAAATCACACTCTCTCAGCCTCAGAGGAGGGCAATGGCAAAGCCTCTCTGGAGAAACCTGCCAAGAAGACTCCATGATAGGGTTGCCATAAGTCAGAAACAACATGAAGGCACACAATAATAACAATAACATCAATATATATTTGGAATGCCAGCATGATTAGAGAGAGAGAGAGAGAGAAGCAATGCATAAAATGCCAGGAAGACACTACTGTGTCTCATATAACTCCAGCCTTGGCGTCTGAGAGAGGTCTTTGCTGACATTTGTATTTTCAGTGGGGCAGCTCTCCAGAGCTGTGTGTCAATGCTCTCTTTGCTGAGTGCAGCTTTTTCTTGTCATTGTATGGGGGGTGGCTTTTCCCTTTGTTCCTGCCCTTGGTTCCTCAGTCCCAGATTAATTAATTTGCCTTCGACCTGTATAAAATCATAGAGTCAGATGGGACCCCCAAGGGGCATCCAATCCAACCCCTTTCTGCCATGCAGGAAGACACAATCCAAGCACTCCTGACAGATGGCCATCCAGCCTCTGCTTAAAAACTTTTCTGATGAAAAGTTTCCAATCTTTCCATTGTATGTCCAAAGTATGATATCCTCAACTTACTCATTTATACTTCCAGGAACAGTTGAAGCTTGATTTGTTCTCAGACCAACATCACATTTCAAAGGAGTTGAACTTCTTCCTATTAGCTTTTTGTTCACTGACCAGCTTTCACAATGGATTCTCAAATCAGTTGATTATCTTCCTATTCACTATTCAGCTTTCATAGAAACTGGAAATACAGTCTTTGGTATCTGCTGGATTTGGTTCCTGGACAGCCCCAAGGATAGCAAAATCTGTGGATACTCAAGTCCCATTCAATACACTAGCATAGTGAAAGATGTCCCTTATAGAAAATGGCAGAATCGAGATTTGCCTTTGGGAGTGTGTGTGCCTATATATATACTTTCAAGCTGCAGATGCTTGAAACCATGGATGTAAAATCTGTGGATACGGAGGGCCAACTGTACTACGGCATGGATTACCCTGAATTTGGTATTTAATGATAGAGCTTTAAACTTGACAAATTGTCAGTGGTCAAGTTAAAATTGTCAAACTTTGACAAATGATAAATTGGCAAGCGTCGACAACATGTGTTTTGGTTTTGTTGTTTTTTAAAGTCATTTTGCAGATGGAGATGGACATTGCATCTTCCAAAAGGCAGTTCTTTTTCACC